TAGAGAAAGAGGGATGGTGTTATACCACTTGAGGATTTAAACAGTATATATTTTGCATGATTAATGGCAGATATTATTCTTAGATAGAAATTATAATTGCGGATGGCTTTCAACCTGACGGTTGTCATCTAGAACTCTTGGGGGGGGAATCAACTAGGAAAAGGAGATTATAAAATGTAACACGGTGATAATAAAAGTTATACATGCTATTTTATGGGGAAAATACCCTGTTACTATCACAGAAAAATGCTCAACTGGCCAGCACTCATTAATTGTGTCACTAGTTTCACATAAATACTCATGAAAGCAGTGACTGGAACATCAGTGTTTTTTTCCTGTAACTGAGGGTTTGTTTGGGGATTTGTTTGTTTGTTTTTAGTTTTTGGATGGAATAATGATGTTATATTGATCCTATTGTTAGTGTATACACTCAGAGAAAAGTTATCATGTGACACTGGACTGAGGTGAAAGACAATAACGTATGAGCACTGTTTGCACTGTAAGTCTGTTGGATTTGCAGTTACAGCTGTTCTGTACAGTCCTTTTGTATCTGTGGAGTTGTGACTTCAGCTTCTCCATGGCACACAATAAATGTGAGGTTTGTTTATCTGTGATAGAACAAGACCTCTGTATCAACTTCCAGATAAAAGCTCAAATGAGAGCACCGCTTGAATACAAAAGGTTGAACCATTACATCAGAGAGAGAATCTGAAGCCTTCTGAATTTAGTGTTAGCAGTAAATAAGAAGCTGTGCTGCTGTTGTAAGATAAGGTCTATCTTGGATCCTTGGTTTACTCAGTTTCTTCATAATCAACCTTCCAGTTTGCAAATCAGATTTTGAGTCGTTGAGGGGAGAACCAGTCTAAACTGACCTCAACAGTCAAGGCTGTTAACGTTTTCTTTGTTAAGGACTGTTGCCAGAAAAGATCTAGGCTTAGCCCTAAACTCTGGGGGATTCTCCCCTTTCCTTAGGTGGAGGAAACAAAGCAAGGCAAAAGGAAGCAGATCTTGGGCACAGCACTGTGAGTTAAGCTTCCACGTGTGCCTCCAGAAGCATTGCCTGCTTTCCTGCAGATGCTTAAAATCACCTACCTTGGAGTTAGCAGTTTATCAGGATAGCCAAGCCAATCTCTCCACTCTAAGGCACAAAAAGAGACATCTCTGCGTAGCCCTAGCTGCACATCACTTATGCTCTTTCTGTCATGTTCATTGAGAGCTGCTCTATCTAAAGAAGCTGCTTGTTAGATCAGCTTCGTTGCAATGAGGTGAAACAATCATAATTATACGAGGTTAAATAAAGTTTTAGAGGTTAAAGAGTGAAAAATCAGTTTTGTCTTGTGTAAGACACGCTTTGGGAAAGGAAGCAGGCCACATACAGAAACCAGAAGTCACAAATCTGTGAGTGTAACCAGTGGCATACACAGGACAGGCACACTTTGCATTTTACAGCAAGCCTGTTGGTGCTCATCTGAGTTTAGAAATAAAGTGATGTCAAAAAAAAGAGTAACATTATTTGAACATGTTCTCTTTTTCAGGACAACTGTGGTTTGTCTGACTAGTATTGCCAGTATTGTGTACTTCACAGGACAGTAGGAGGAATGGACAGATATCTATGAAAATAATGATAAGTTAAATTTGCCTAATGGCTCTCCTTTAGTTTGTAGCCTTTTGCACACACACATATGGATGCATGCCATAGAAAAACAGCTTCTGCTGAGCAGCTGCCAGCTCTCATTGGTACTTTAACTAGGGGATGATGCACAAATTGTCATAACACATTTCTTATCAGACGGTGACTTCAGAGTGCATGTGCATAAGATGATCTTCATATAATGAATCTGAGTATTGCTCTTTTTCTCTTCTAGTTTGTGGAGACATCCATGGTCAGTTCTTTGACTTGATGAAACTGTTTGAAGTGGGAGGTTCTCCTGCCAACACACGGTATCTCTTCCTGGGGGACTATGTGGACAGAGGGTACTTCAGCATTGAAGTAAGTTTCTTATTTCTGTTTTTGGCTGCAAAACTGCTTGGAGTCTATTGTGTGTATTTTGCGTTGTAATTTCCCCAGTTCAGGAATATGAAGCTCTTTGCAGGTACTACTTGTGAGCAGAAAAAGCCTACCTTAATGTTGCTGGTGGTGTTGTCATAAAGGTTGCTTGGTATCCAGACAGATCCTACTAGACCTGTGCTGGATTTCTGATGGAAAATAGATCTTGGTGCTTGCTAGTGGCCACCCAAATATAGCACAGAAGGCAGTTAGCTCTGCAGCTTGTGCAAGCAAAATAGGATGAACAGGCATAAGCCATTAGCAAAGTGACGTAACAGAAAAACTAAATGAACAATTCATAGTTTAGTTTGACTTTTAGGTGTATTTGATCTGACTCTTCTGGACGTGAAATTTTATGGAAATAGGAGGAGTAAAAAGCCAGCAGGTAACAGCCTGTGTTGTACAGAATGACTGAGTTCTGTGTGGATATGGCATGCAGGAGGGCATGTTCTCTGGCTTTTGATGCACTGCTTGAATCCACAGGGAAGTAATGCACATGTGCCCTGTTGAAAGTGCTCAGGCTTGGTGCAGACTCCAGTAGAGTATGGAGGTCAAGTGACAGCACCTGCAGCTGGCTTGTGAAGGAAACAGTGTCCTGTCCAACCTGCCCAGCTTTGACTAGAAGTGAGTTAAATACCAAGCACAAATCCTTTGTTCAGTGCTCACAAAACACACTGGATTTTGTCTTCTGTGTTGCTGCTTCGTTATGCAAACTGACAGACGAGGAGCACAATTACTGAATAAAACCTAATGTGAATTTCTTCATCCAGGACATAGTTGATCTAGTTACTGAATGATCAAACTCTTGCAGCAGCTTTCAAGCTACAGCTTCACACCTTTCTCTGAAACATTCAGACTTGAACCCCAAGTCAAAAGAGGATATCCGTTATCTATTAAAAGCAGAATAGGTCCTAGGATACCTGACTGTGTGTCTGTGACTAGGTAAGACAGCAGCATGCAGGAACACATACACTGCTCTTTCATTCTGTACACATGCTTAGTACACTGTTGTCATATTCATGCACAAATATGTAATCCCAAACAGCCGAGTTGTTTATATTGTGTTTCTAAAGTGGATCATCTTGCCAGTTTTATATTTTTTAGTATGAAGAGAAATTTCTTTAAAATAAAATTCTGTAAAACTACTTTTGCTTCATTAGTTCCCTTTAAAACTTAATTTACAATGTTAACAGAATCTTTGGGAGGGGGCACATTTGACAAACAGAAATACGCTGTTCCAAGTGAAAACACTCTAAAAACTTAGGAATTGCAGGGTTCTTTTTGCCCACCTGCCAAAAATCAATATAGTTAGAATTTGGTCTCATACTGAAGTCAGCATTTTGATCATTGATTTTTTTTATTTTTTTAAGCCAGGTGTACCAGCTTCCTCCCTTCTCTGATCCACAGTGAGCTGTGAGCTAAATCACCATGGTGTGGATTATCATGCTGGGGAAGGTTGGGAGTGTGGGATGGCTTCACAGGCTTAAACTCTTGTGCAGTTCCATCTTGAACTACTATTTTTCAGTTGTGATAACCTAGTTCATACCTCCTGTAGACTTTGAGCTAAGTTGTATCTGGAAGAGGAGAGTTTTGTCTTCATATCTATGTATGTTTTTAATATAAGAAGTAGAACAAGTGGATTTTCTTCAACTTTCAAGTGCTTGTCTGACAGCTTGCCAAAATCTGCTCCAGGGCTATTACTGATTGAAAACAATAGCAAGCCATAAAACAGTAATCAAAATAACTTCTGGGTGGGAGTAAGGCCCTTAAAATTACTCATGTAGCAGCCTGAATGTACATATTTAGCAACCTCTATTCTGAATTTCGTTTTTCCATTCTGGAACACTACTTTTTCACTGGAAGCGCTGCTGGCTTTTGCCAGCACCAAGGAAATATCTGAGCTGTCACTTATATTATGCCTTTTTTTGTATTGAAGGTGCTCAAATTACTACTTTTTTTGTCACATGACTGATTCTCCCCACTTGTCACCAAGATTAAAGAATGCCTTTGAAAAAAAAAGGTTTTGTTTTGTAAGTGTATTTGGGTGTAAAGCTTTGCATTCAAGCATGAACTCGGCAGACTAAGTAGTGACAAAGAAAGGAAAATGGTAAAGAATGCAACTTGGCACGTTGTGGAGGATGGTTTTTGTGAAGAAGGGGCCCTGAATGCATCTAGCAGATGCCAGCTCTTGCCAGTACTTTGTGCTGGAGAAATGGGGGTAAACAGTCCTAGCCTGATCTCAGTGCAGATTTCTACCACATCAGTCACACTGTGATCTTTATTCCATCGATCTGTTGGCTACTTTCTGCTATGTAGGCATGAGACTGTTGCAGTTCTGGGGTCTTTCCAAAAGAATTAAGTAGCTGTTCCAAGGTATTAATCACGAGTAATATAGGCTTAAAAAAAAAAAATCCTTTTGATTGCTGTGTGATATCTAGTGTAAAAGTGATACCATTGAGCGTATAGACCTAGCTGAGTTCTGGTAGTGGGCGAGATAATCCTTGTCTGTGGGCTGCAAAGCATTTGGGATTCTTCTGGATGAAAGGTACTATATAATGTAAGCTATTATCATTAAGAACAGAGGAAGAAATTGCATAAGGTAGGTGGAAGGCATTTGATAATGCAGAGGGGGAAAAAAGAGAGAAGCATTTTGTGTAAAGCAATTGATCAGCAGAAATGACAGTCTTTGCCCCATGGAGCTTTTGATCTAGGGGGTCATTTCTTCATGTATGTGCTTTGTTTTTTACTAGATTTAGCTCCACTGTTTGAAGGGGGAGTGGGTTGTGTCTTTAAAACTAGTTCCAAACAAGGTGTCACAGGATGAGAAGTTAATGGGGAATTACAACAGGTAAAACAAAACAAAAAAAAGTCAGAATTGTAGATGGGATGAGACAAGGTTTCCTGGCACAGACCAGATCTTCGTTCTGTAGCTCTGTACTCTTGTCCACTTGATCTTTTGGCAGAGCCTGAGTATTTCTTCACATAGAATAACAAATTTCTGCAAGTGGCAATATCTGATATGGCACACTTGTTTCCTCGTCTCCGTAACTGATAACATTTCCCTGTTGTGCTTGTGCACTGTTCCAGGGTTTTGACTCCAGAGTAGAAACCTCTCAGTTCTTGCTTTCCAACAAGTTTTATGGTCATGGAGAATAGAAACCTAAATGATCAAAACAGAGGGCTAATTTTAAATCCAAAGAATTGCTAGAGCATAAGTGGTTCTGCAGGAATGGGCTGTGAAGAAGAATGACTAATCCCTACCTGAGTCTGAAAACTCTCTTTTGAAAGGCAGACACAAATGCCCTGTGGTGCAAGGGGGAGTATACATACAGAGGGCTTTTCATCACAGTCTTGGGAAAATTGCAATCAGAGTAAATACTGACTACAGTGAATTAATAATATTAATTGATGCTGGCATTATTTTTCTGCTCAATCCCACATAAAAACCATACAGGCTTAAATGTCAATTGGATATCATAATTTTATCATTTTGGACAATGCAGATAGTTAAGATATGAAAAATTAAACCGGTGTTCAAAATTAACAAAACTGGAATTGTGTTTTAAGGTTCAAAACTTTCATACATCTTCGTTTCCTGAATACAAAGGTTGAAATTCTAGAAGGATAAATTGGGTTTGTGGTATTCTAGCAAGAATAAAATGAGGTGTTTGGAACAAGTCTGCAATCTGACTGTCGGACCTTGCATCAATTAAAAAAGCATCTGGTGCTTGAGATGCTTCTGAACTCAGTGAACTGCTCGAAATTAACTATTGTCTTCCAAGAAAAGAATTACATATAAATAAATTTGTGTTAGTAAACTGTGCCTGAAGTGGGTGCTGGTGAAGCTGTGTGTTTGTCATCTCTCAAGTCTCTGTGCACTTCCTAGGACTTTATTGGAAGAATAAACACCTTTCAGTTCCTCCATTGCTCTAGTGTGTTAATGTTTGCCAATAAATAGCTTGGTTTAAAACAGTTTTTCCTGACCAGGAATAGTTTACTGGTGAAATTAGCTGGGTTTTTTCACTTCTCTCAGACAAAAAAAAAAAAATCCCAATATGTTAATTATCCTAAATTGCCTTGCCCTTTTCTTCTGTGTAACTGTAGCCTACATTGTTTCTCCATAGCAAAAATTTGCAACATGTAAGATCTCATTTTTTGCTGGGCAGTGAGTGCTCCTCAGAACTATGAATATTCAGTAATTCATCAAATTCAGATTAATTTTATATATATTAGATTCCCAGACTGGAACATCTGTTTGTGTCAAGGCCATCCTTGCAGCTTGCCTGGTCCTGTGCCAGCGCCTCCCGGAGCAAGTCCCCAATATGCCAAGGACCTCTTTTGGCTGCAGGGAGAAAACATGAGACAGTGCCCTGGAGGTCACTCAGACCATTTCCCCAGTACTGCTTCTGTCTCCCTGTGGGAACCATCTCGACATAAAGCAGCTACAGACAAGACCCAAGGTCCACCAAGGAGAGTTAGGAGCCAGCACTTGGATACCTGCTTAGAAAATAGTCGCTATAAGAATTAGAGGTGCATGTGATAAAAAGAATTTTCTAATCACTTTTTGGTTGAAATAAGAGCCCCTTCCATTTTGGACTTTTTGAGGTCTTTCCAAGGGCTGAAATGGGAATAAAGTGGTCTAAATGTGAGGAAAAAAAGGCAAGTAGCAATGTTTTGAAGGTGATCACTTTAAATAAAATAATTGGTGAGATTAGCTAGAATAAAGTCTTGTCATAATTGAAGTACAGAGGTGCTAAAGTACCACACAGGTGTCAAAACAAGATCCAAAAGCAGCTTGGGAATATTCAACAGATGCTTAAAAATAATAAAAAGAGAAGTTGAATGATCAGAATGAGACTCTTGAACAGCATTTTGGAAACAGCTGAAACCCCTGACCATGAGGAATCGATTCACTGTTACTCCACAGTGTCTATTTCCACAGCAGTAGCCTCTTTAATTTTTAATTACACAACCTGTATGTACATGAGCACAGGCTTTAGAAACACAAAAACACCACGTAAAATAAAAACAGATTGACAAATACGTTTTAGTGAAGACCCTTAAGTTGCCACTGAAGATACGGTTGATGCAATAGCACTACTGTGTTGTCCCTGTTCTGCAGTAGAGCCTTTAGAGAAGAGATCATATTCTGTCCCCTGGAACTTGGGGAAAAAAAGGAATGAAATCCTGGTTATAGTAAGGACAATACAATTTTTTTTGGTCATTTTCAGTAGTGTTTAGAGTTTTATTTCGCAGTGCTCAAGGGACGGTAGTTCAAAAATGCCAATAACTTGCATCTCCTGTATTTTGGTTACAGAAGTTATACATCTTTGTTTTTGTAATAGAGCCCTAATAAATAGTCATATCAGTAGTGTCAGTGGAATTACATGTGTAAAGAGGTACATGGTTACCATTGGGACTGTTTTTCTGTTTTAGAAAGTTGTACCTGAACTTGGTCCTATGATGGTATAATTATTCCAATGCAATTAAGGTAATGCAATTTTTATATTTAGGTGAGGTATGCTAGTTAGTGTGAGGGAGCTATGCCCATATACTGTTCCACAGTTCTTGCTCTTGTTCTTCCTGGCATGATCAGTGCAACAGCACCCAGAAGTGAGTGTGCTGTCTTACAGGTGTTGCTGTGGTTGCAGTTTAGTGGCAATGGTAACAATTTTTCAAGGTTCCTTGTTTTGAGCACCTAACTTGAGATGTGTGCAAGAAGTCTGAGGCTTTTGGTTTTCCTTTTCAGGAGGTGCTGAGATACTGAATTGTGCAAAGGCTCAAATTTGGCATGCAACAGTAGAGTTAAATCCCAAGTCCCTTTTGAAAGTATGTGCCTTTGGCTTACACAGTGCTTAATTGCACAGTCCTTTTCTTTCCTGATGCTGAGGCTGCCAGAACCTCCGCAGGAAAACATCTTGACAATGGGAGCTGGGAGGTGGGCAGATTACCTCTTTGTTATCAACTTAACATATCTGCTATTTCAACAGCTGAAAGACTCTAAGCAAGTAAGCAGGGGTACAGTTTGAGGACTAGCATTTAAGAGATGCAACCTTTTTTCAGGTGGGCTTTTTTTTTTGATAGTATGAAATGAGGACCAAAAATACCTGAGAGGTGTCCAGATTACAAAGTCACTTCTGTACATTTTACGGAGCCACAGCAGAGTTGATGTATAGTAAACTCTTGATGAAAAATTTGGGGAGGGAGAAGTAACCAAACAAAATTTTGCTATTGGGAAGCCGTATTACCAAATAATTGAAGATTGTAAGCTCAGATTTTCAGTAAGGGAAAGTTATTGTAAATCTTTTGACTTCATTAAGAATGACAATATACAAAGCAGAGTTTAAAGAAAAAGAAAAAAAAAAGATGAAAAAAACCCCATCCAAACGTTATGTTGTTTGGACATAAGACTTTTTGTATGTAAATAACTGTAAATTGAAAATCCATTAAAAAATATCACCCATGTATTTGCTGTTTAGTTTGCATGGGAGAAAAATGCCATCTGATAATTAGTTCTTATTTACTATTATGATTCTATGTCACTGGACTACTGAATAGAAAAGGAGGAAAAATTAAAGCCATTATCTAAATGGAATAAGACTTTGATATGGTACCACTGAAAACAACACAAAATTTGAATGGTGGGCTTACCATTACTTGAATAGTGGCAGGGAAACAGCACTTTCTGGACTGCATTCATTCTCTGTTATCTTCTTGGTCTGGTTCTCACAAGTGTTTCAAAGGAAGAACAGAAAAAAAAAAAATTAAATATCTGTAATAGGGAAATGTAAAGAGGTCTACCCATAAGCAAGTACCAAATACCAAAAAGGTAGAACTTCCAGCTTTTCCTTATTTTCATCCAAATCTGGATGATACTTTAATTATGTAATGCTCATTTCAATCTTGTCTATGGTTTTGTGAAAATTAAAAACTCAGTCATAAGGAAAATGTAAACCACTCTGCTTTTATTTTTCTTAAAGGATTTAAATTAAGCACTAATCATTGTCCTTTTTTGAATTATAAGGTACTTTGGCAGAATCAGAAGCTCCAAGGTAACTTAGATACAGCTTAAAAAGCTGGAATTTCTCTTGCATGGATGGAAGTGTCTCTTTAAACTTCACAACATTTACATCAAATTTTTGCTTTAGCCAGTAGGTTCAAAGAAGTGGAAGGTTCCAGGAGTTCTTGGAGTAATGTAAAAGTCATCATCAAAGAGATGAAGAATTGCACTGATGATGTGGAGAAGTGCAGGTTTCCTTCCTCATTGAAATGATATCTTCATACCCAAGTCCTCTCTCTGTTCCAACTCCAGCAAATTTTCCCCAGGCACACACTTTGTGGTTGTTTTGGGCCACAGCAGAAAATTCCTTTGACCTAACATTATAATTTCACTCTTGATTATGTCAGCGTGATCTACCTCACGTTCTGATGTCTCTTCTGGCTTCCTGCAGTGGCAGTGGCACCTGGAGAGTAGAAGGGGTGTCATGAGTTGGGAAGCCTTCCATGTGTTTCCAAAGGGGAAAATGAATTTTGCGAGTCCTGGAGAATGCTGCCTGTACTTTTTGCTCTCTTTACCTGGCTCTAGACCCTCTGAGTAGAAAAATAGAAATGGTGGAGTGCAGGCAGAACATCCAGATGTTGGCATGTAATAAATTCTAGCCAAAGCATAGTAGTAAAAAGCCCCTGCTGCTATGTAGTTATATGTGGATACCATGAGGTTTAGCACAAACATAAGAGTGCTGCATCCTTTTTTTTTTTTTTTTTAAGATGAGGACTGTAGCAAATGAGGGAGCAGAAATCAAATCAAAATGTTCAGACAAGATTAATGTAATTATTCTGTTTATCAGGATATTCTGAATGGTAGAAGGGAGTTCATACTGTACAAATTTAGAGGCATTACATTGACAAAAATGCTGATTTTGCTCTGAGCAGACGCCATGGTTAGGAGTACATTCCGAACATCCAATCTATTGATTAAGACAAATAAAGTAAATAATTTTTGTTAGCAGAACAAAGAAGAATGTTAGGAAGCAGTTGGAAATGCAAGTGAGGAGGAGGGGTTGACACATTTTGTTTCTCATGCAACAGTTCTGCTGTTCATGGATATTTAAGAAAGGGCGGGTTGGAGGAGAAATTGTTCAGACAATTTTCTAGCTCATGTATTTTGAGAGGCCACTGTGGTGTCTGTACTGTATTCTTGCAGACAGTAGGCACATCTCATTGGATGAATTGGTCTTATTTTCATCATCTCCCTCGGAGCTGTGAGTTTGTCAACCAGGTACCTGAGCAGGGTCATCCTGCACAAAGGATAAGTCTTCCATGAAGTTTGCAGGTTTGCTTACTTGTCAAGAGTCTCATAATGCTTTGGCATCGTTGCCATGTCAGTTTTGTTTTCAAAACAACTATTTTAATTGGATGGTTTTGAGAGGTCTGAGCAGAGATTAGCCTCTCGGAGTCATCGTTTTTTTTATCTTTAAAAACATGTCTAGAAGAAATGTCATCTCAAATAGAAATCTTCTGGAAAGGTAAAAGGCTTTATAGAAGCTTTGTAGTAACTTAATGTGGAGAGCCTTGAGGATTTTTTCTCAGTTGTTTCTGCAGAATAATGTTAAGTGAAAAATGAACAAGCATTCATGTAAAAACTGCAATACTGGAAGCTGAGGCATTTCCTGAAGTGTGGGTTAGATTGTTATAGGGCGACTTTTCCTTAAGGCAGGAAATGCGACTCTTCCTGTGTATGTGTTTCCATGGTGGGGTTCTGCCTAACTTGCCAGGTGAAGAGAGCACACGTCATTTTAGGGATGCACAGCAATTATTTCTTGCTAGCTGGGCCCCTGAAAGCAGTGCACGGCTGAGCAGGGAGATGCCGTGTAGCAAAAATGCAGAACTTTATCAGAATATACCGATGCTGGTTTCAACCAGCGCAAGTTGAAGTGTGGAGAAATGTTCCCATGTAATATGTGAAGAGTGAAGTTAACCCATTGAAAATAAATGTTTCACAGAATACTTTTATTCTGCTATTTTTTTTTCATGGAGGGGAACTTGAATCGTTGAATTATGTCATTAATTATGAATTATATTTTTCTTTCTTGTTTCTTATTCACAGTGTGTGCTGTACTTGTGGGCCTTGAAAATCCTTTACCCCAAAACACTGTTTTTACTTCGTGGGAATCATGAATGTAGACATTTAACAGAGTATTTCACATTTAAGCAAGAATGTAAGTCTGTCTTAACCTTTCTCCTGTTAAATCCCTTTTCAAAAACTTGAGTTGTTATTTTGTATTTGATACTGGTTTACCATCAGTAATTTTAAATGTACTTTTCATATTAGCTATAGTTAATTTTAAATGTAATCACTGTTCCCTGAGAGAGCAGTCATCTTGCAGGAGCTGCCTCAGTGGTGGAGGAAGGAAGGGGTTAGACTCCTACAGCAGGTAGTGACTGACCACTTGTAGAAACCCACTTGGTGCTACAGATACCTAGACACTTCAGTTTGCCAGCCTGACCTGGGAAGCAGCTCAGGGCTTCTGAGGGACCATCTGGACCTGGATGCTCCTGGTAAACTCCTGCTGCTTTTTCCAGTGGCTGGCATTTTGCTGCCCCACACAGCAGCCTGGCAGTCAAAACCTGCCGGCATGCCAGCTCTGGCACCTCTGTGATAGGTCTCTGATAGCTAGTGGAGGAGGTGGCATTTCACCAGGTCTTATCTGCAGCAGGAGAAAAATGGTATTTATGTTTGGGTTGTGTTTTTTTTTCCTTTAAGTAAGTATAGTATTTTCACACTTACCCTGTAAATAGGCTTAAACATTTCAGTATGCTCTTTTTATAGGAGTTCCTTTCTTGCAGTGACACATTAGATGTAGACCTTCACCTGCACAATGAAGCTTGTTTTTTTCCTGTGGCACTGTAAGCTGAAGCTGTTGCCATAAGTCTGTTCCCTTTCTAGCATTAGGGATAAAGGAAATGTTAATTGGCTCAAAGGCTTCATGGTTTACTGAGTGTAATATGCATATTGGTAAATTAACATTTCAGCTTCATTGTACCACCTCATTCATTTCATAATGGCATTTCTGTAGATAATTAATTATAAGGGACTGGGCTGAAGTTCTGATTGCTTCATAGAAAGTATATTGAGTGATAATGTAGGAGATGATAACTATTTAGCAAGCTTTTTAGGGCTTGCTGTATAGATTTCATGGCAGACTATAATGGTATATTAAATTGTTTATTTACAGTTTTTTTAGAAAAACATTATAAACTTTTATTAGTTCCACCTCAGAACTTAAAAATTTTTCGAGTAGTGAATAACAATAATCCTAAAGCATTTTTTTTTTCGTGAGGCAAGCTTTGTTGTAGTCCTCAGTGCAAGAGAAAGCAGTGAGAGCAAGATTGAGATATTAAGCATCATACTAATTTATTTTTTCTTTTGAAGTTTTGATGGCACTTTCTGTTACCATCTTAATTTTTAAAAGGTAAAATCAAATATTCAGAACGCGTATACGACGCCTGCATGGATGCCTTCGACTGCCTTCCTTTGGCTGCTCTGATGAACCAACAGTTCCTGTGTGTACATGGTGGCTTGTCTCCAGAGATCAACACCTTAGATGACATCAGAAAAGTAAGTCTGAATAATGCTCAGGTCTAGTAAGTGAACAGTTAATCACTAGCAACTAAAATTTTAATCCTTTCTCACTGTAGTTCACTTGTGTGAGATGCTTGTATGTCATTTTGACATTAACATTGACGTTGTCACCTTTTAAACGTCTTTTGAAATAGAACGTAAAAGGAATTGCTGTAATTAGTAATATTTTATTGAAGTGAGGAAATCATTGGCATCCAGTAAAACAGAGGTTGAGTATATAAGTATTTAGAAGCAAATGGATACAAAGCTTTAATTTCTTTTAAGTATTATCAGCTAGCACAATGTAAGCACACCATCTGATGATTCCTTGTTCGGCATTCTGCACTTTTTTGGAGAAGAGAAAAAGATAGCTCTAGAAAAACCTCACAATCCTTAAAACGTCCAATCAAAAAGCATTGTGGGATTGTAATGAAAATAGTAAAAAAACCATTGTTTTTCTAAAAAGAGCTTCATTTTCAGTAGGATGTGCCATATTTTTAATAGTACTGCAGTTGAGTGCCTAGCAAAGTGTCTAAGCCAGGCTTAGTAAGTTGATGCTTTTGTGTAGCACTCTTGTGTTCTGAGAAGTTTCTGATAAGTCTCATGAAAGTTCAGAGAACTACGTTGAACAGTTTCTCTGAGTAATCCGGTGTTGTTGCATGTTCTCAAGGATTCATTTTTTTCAGGTGTTTTGTAAAAGAGATCTGAGTTTATATTTCTAAAAAGAGGTATTTAAACCATTCATTCTTTTTTTTCTAGAAGAAGATATTTTCTTGTTTCTTGCTTGTGGTTTAAGACTTGCGAACATGGAAATGTATTTCTGAGCTTTAAAGTTACTAAAAGATAAATTATGTTCTGAGATTAATTTATGGTCTACTAAAAAACTAATATGGTTTAAAAAAAAAAAAAAAGAGCCAGTAATTACATGTTTTGGTTTACAAGCAATTAGATGAAGATATTAACTGCATTTTTAAAAATTCGTGAATGTAAAGGCTTGCTTCTGAGGTAAATATTCACTACCTCATTAAGCAAAAATATTCTCTGCCTAAAAATTAGCTGGCTTTGCAACAATGTAATGACAGAATAAAGCTATTTAGTTCTCAGATTCTAGATTAGGGTCATTAACATCTTCACTTTTTTAAACACTGCCCCCCCCCCTTAACTGCATTTTTAAAAATTCGTGAATGTAAAGGCTTGCTTCTGAGGTAAATATTCACTACCTCATTAAGCAAAAATATTCTCTGCCTAAAAATTAGCTGGCTTTGCAACAATGTAATGACAGAATAAAGCTATTTAGTTCTCAGATTCTAGATTAGGGTCATTAACATCTTCACTTTTTTAAACACTGCCCCCCCCCCCCCAGCCATTTAATTTAAATGAATTATAGTTACAAAAGCATTAGTTTGTAGGGAACTGAAATAAGTTAGAAGTGTAAGTATACTTTCATGATATGGATGCAAAGGTGAAATTGTAAAGGTCTGTTTTTAAAAACTTTATAGCTGACTGTTGAAAACATATAAAACTAGTTTTCTTTGAGATCTTTTTTGGGGCAAAAAAAGTATATTAGGTATGCTACTGAATTATTACTTGATCTTTCTAGTTAGAATAGAGAACATTTTGGCCTGCATGCCTGATTCTTACACCCATCATAACAAGGAGTGTTTTTATATTAAGGAGTTTTTGCAGAGGAACACTGATTTTTAATATTTACCCATTTTACTAATCTTTATCTTATTTGTAGCACAACTCTATGTAATTTGAATTTTTAATACTAATAGGCAGAAAGAGGAGGTTTCAGCTGCTTAATTAGGGTTAAAGTTATGAAAGCAACAAGAATGTCATGGCAAGTTTCTGTAAGGCAGAGATGTCCCAGTATTTAAATCCAATTTTTCGTGAAAATGTATTTAAATCAATATGGGAACTTTCTTTGAAAGCACTTGGGTTTGGATGGTTCTTTTTTTTTTTTT